TTCGTACACTTGTAACATTTAATATTTTTCTTTCAGCTCTAATGTATAACATGTCCTGTCTAACTATTTCCTTACAGCTTCATCTCAAGAAAGAAAAAAACATTATACTTTGTATATGTCCGGATCACTAAGAAGATACATGTGAGTTCTTGCTGTATTATTTATGTTTCTTTTCGCTTAGTTTGAGACGCCTCGATATTTAAATGATCTTGCACACACTTTTAATATAACATTTTATGTGTAAAATGTTTTTTACAGTTATGTAAAATGTAACATTTTCAGTCTAACATTTTTTTTTCAGCAATAATACCTATCTTTTTCCATTTAACCTTTCCCTAGGTAGGTAGGTGGAGCACGACAATGAAGACAAACGGACAAAAAAAATGTTTAAAATATTCCAATTAAGTGATAATTTTACAATATGTTTTTGAATTGCCGGAATATAATTTAAATTAATAACCCAATGGTTTAAATGGGACTCATTTAATCCGTTCCTTGCACTAAATTCTTTATAAATTTTCAATTAATGTGTTGTTCGTATTATCGGTGTTTTGTATACGTTATCAAAAAAAAATATATTTCAATCTTTTCAATGTTTAGATGAACCTCCTATAAACCCTACTTATTGCTATATAAATTATTTTGCCAAAGTTAATATAAAATTAACAACTAAATAATGTTATCTTGAAATTGTTCCAAAAATGTGTATTAATTTTTTTAATACCATTTCTCTTACTTCAATAATAGTTCATTATTTAAGATAACATTTTTAGGACATTAATTTAAAACCCACAAGTGTCCTGCCAAATCCATATCTTATTTCCATATTAATTTGGGCACTAAAATGGCAATGTGTATGACCAATTGTGTTACATAGACACTTTTTGGTTCCTCACTTATTTGCCTATAGCCCCTTTTACTTCCCGTGTTTTCGCTTTGTTCGATTTTTTGTGCATACCCTACAAGACCCTCCTGTATACGCATGTCGTTACATTTTCACTCGTTTCTTCAATTTTTAGATGTTTTTATACTTTTTTTATTAATTATATTTCACTTTTTTAATCGTTGTTATATGTTTTTAAATCTTAATGTAAACAAAAGTAAGTAAATATCAATATAAAACCTTTTTTACTTAAATATGGGAACGGATTAAATGTAACATGATATTTCCTTTTTTTTATTCATCCTCTGTCGATGTAACTTTTTATGTTCCAATGGAGAACTTAGTTTCCGGCACTTCACTCGTCAAACGAAACGCATACACACCGTTACACAACCTACATTTTCTCTATCAACTATTCCAAGCACGACCTACCAGTGTTTTACTATTTGGTTTAGTATTTTTTCAGATTTCGTCTTTTAAGATCTCTGCCTATAAAAAAATTAAATAATAATCATTGTAATGACAACGATATATAAATTATCAGTATGGTAACACTTTTTATTTGTAAAATAATCTTACAAATAAGAAGGTTTACTACCTTGTTTGTTGCATTCAATGTAAACTTATGTTGCACCTTAACAATGTACTGTCTTCCGCAATAACCTGCTGCATGTGTGTCTGTTTGTAATTATTTAATCTTTATTAACTTTAATACATTTGATCTTGACAAAAACTTTTAAAGAATTAAAAAAAATACTTTGCAATATTAAATTTGATATGCTCGATACAAGTCATTCCATCATTCAGTTCTAAAAGACCAATTTTATTAGTAATAGATTAAAAAGTTTTAATATTATTAAAGTAAATTATTTAAAATCTATAAAGACTTGAGGCTCCCAATCAATGAAATATGTGAACATTATTAAAGAGATGCATTAGTTATATGTGTAGGTCAGATGGCAGTGGCTTCCAACAACCAGCCGGCCAAGTTAGCCTGGCCGTTTCGTTGACTGGGGACTCAGCGCGGCGCGGATCACCAGCTAAACACGGGATTAAACAAACGAAGTAAGTTTCACTACTATTTTTTTAACATTTCATGAACATCAAAATTATTTTAGACATCGTTTCAGAAGTGCTGCGCACGCGCAGCCGGTGCGGGCTCCGTGCGCGACAGTGCCGCCCCTATGCGGTGCGCGGGTGGGTCTTGTCTAAGACCCGCCTACTTTGAAGATTCGTCAAGAAATAAGTGCTGTGTGTGAAGTGCGCATGCGCAATGTGCATAAGTCTTTGTAGTGTTGTGCGTGTCTAAGTGCGGTTTCCCCCTTCTGAAACGATGCCCTTATCAATCGAAAATTACCAATATAAAAACACTAAGCTTTAGATACGAACAATAAGATAATAGAAATAAGCTAAAATAAGCTATATTTAAGTTAATAGTAATACCGGTATTAAGTAATTATGAGTCGTACGACTTCAAACTAATGTTAAGATTTAAAAATATTGCAAAATTTTTATAAGTTTGCAATCCTATAGAAGGCCTTCTAAAATGCGGTTTAATTTATAATTTTATCAATTTAACAATTCAAGTGGCATCGTTTTTAAAGAAATTTTATCTTCACATTTCACATTTCCGAGCAAAAAAGTAAGTCATTAACAAAGTTTTTTTTAAATTACGTACATTTTTAAATCTAACAAGTATATGAAATAATATAATTAAACATTTAAATAAATCTATTCCCACGTGTATTCCTAAATATACCTTCACTAGCTGTTGCCCAAGACTCCGTCCGCGCGAAATAAAAAAAAACATGTAATAAGTAACGTAACGGTATTCTTACGATGAAGGAAAACATGGCGATGCAACCTGCACATATCTGTGAAGAAATTCAAAAGATATTTGTAAAGTCAACTTAGCTGCACATGGCCAACGTGGTTGACTATCACCTAGTCACCCCTAACTTAGGGTAGGCTCCGAGCCCCTCGGTGTTAAAGTAGCCTAAGTGTTCTTCCAATCTGTTCTCCATCTGTGCCAAAATTCATCAAGATCTCCGTTGCGGAGATACCTTCGAACAAACATCCATTCATCCATCTAAACATTCGCATTTATAACATTAATAATATAACAAGCTGTCGCCCGCGACTCCGTCCACGCGGAATTAACAAAAAGCTCAACTAGTATGCCTAATTGTTCTTCCTGACTGTGTTCTACATCTATGCCATATTACAGCAAGATCCATCGAGCCATTCTGAAGATACCTTCAAACAAACATACATACATTTATTAAAACCATCCATCTAAGATTCGCATTCATAATATTATTAATTTAGTAAGAATAATTTAAATTAATGAGTAGCCGATATGTCCTTCCAGACTATGTTCTACTATTATGTCAAATTTCGCCTAGATCCGTTAAACCGTTCCGGAGATACGTTCAAACAAACATCCATCTACCTATCCAACCACTCATCCATACATCCATACATCCATCCATCCAATCATTCGCATTTATAATATTAGTAAAGAGTAATATAAAATATATTGCAAAGTAAATTAATTTACTTACATTTTTAAACAACGATATATCTTTCATCACTTGTTAGATTTCCTTCCAAATTTAAAAAAAAATTTGGGATGTGATAATTGTGACAGGAGTATTCAATGAACACATCCCAAATTAATCCTCATACATTTTTGTGTCATATTTGTTTGTTCCAATAAGCTAGCTTCAACCCCTGTTGACTTCCTCGGTGGGGGTGAACTTCCTACGTCAGCATCAGCAGACGGTGGACTGTGGGGATGATTAACAAGACACGACCAGAAAATAAGACAAAAAAGAAGATTCCAGCGGCGGTAAATGCAATCAAATTTGATGAAAATTACCAAGCAGTTTGGACGGAAGAAATAATAACGAATATGTTATAGGTGGAACAC